AGAAGTCAATCAACTAGTGATCCAATGATAGTCCTGAACCAGGAAAAGTTGGCCAGGGTGGCAGGTGTACCGAGAGTTTTCAGTGCTATTCTGGTATTTGTTTGCCTGCATCATTAGATATGAACTCAAATAACTACTGTTCCAATGATAGTCCTGAACCAGGAAAAGTTGGCCAGGGTGGCAGGTGTACCGAGAGTTTTCAGTGCTATTCTGGTATTTGTTTGCCTGCATCATTAGATAAGAAGTCAAACAACTACTGCTCCAATGATAGTCCTCAACCAGGAAAAGTGGGCCAGGATGGCAGGTGTACCGCCAGTGATCAGTGCTATTCTGGTATTTGTTTGCCTGCAACATCAGATAAGAACTCAAACAGCTATTGTGTTTAGACTCTGATACACAACTGTACGTTCATCAGTAATAGAACTGAACATGTCATATTAATCACGAGCTTTTTTTCTAAAGAATGTTATTTATTCATCACTGAATTGGCTTCTTGTCAACATTTTAGTAAAAGATTTTCTTGATTTTTCGTACTGCGATGCATTGTTCCTATGTAATTTCTAACTGTTTTAATATACCCTGTAGGATAGGGTAGTACCAGGGCTCCCGAAACAGCTACCCTGCACATGTCTAGATTGGACGTACACGCATAAACACAAATATTAGTGTGGTGAAGTTTAATTCATACTCGACTGGCACAGAGACGAGCAAAGTGAGTCGAAACTTCAAAAAAATGTTGAATTTCAGAATCTCAGAAGTTGAAAATGTCATCATTGTGAGGATTTCAAAAAAATCCTGAATTTCAGAAAGTTACTGAAGGCGTGACCAGATTACCTCTTGCTTTTACGTAGTTCGCGAAGATCGAAGTAAAAGTTTAAGGACTTTTATCTTCAGTCTCTTTGCATTGAGCACATACTGTACATCTCGTCGAGCTTGATCAGCAGCTCTTTTAACTATCTCTTGTGTTTCTCTTTCCCATTTTGAAACATATCAAAATTAGGCATTTTTTTCTGAGGAGGTTGCCAACATGAAGCCTACGGGATCTTGTAGCCCATGGTCGATTTAGTTGTTCGCCACCTTTATCTCAAATGGATCACTTCGATTTTTGAAAAACAAGATTTTATAAAAACCCAAAAAGATCCGTGTCGGATGCGAACCGGTAACGTAAAAATGCACTTTCTCTGCAAAGAGAGGTGAGGTGCTTATAAAAATTTCATCAAAGTTGAGTATCAATCAACCTCTTGCAAAACGGCTTTCTAGGAACTTGCAGTAAAACAAATTCGTTTCATGCCTGCACATAAATCGGTTTCAAAGGGAAATGTGGCTTTTTTTAGATCTAGTATTGCGTTCTATTTTGTACAAAACTAACCTAAAAGTTTTAAAGGTGACTAAAATTATTGGAAGACGTAAAGAAAGCTGCAGAAAAGATCTCAAATTTGCTAAAATAAAAAAAAGGCAAAAACTTTTAAAACGTTTCGTACAGAAATGTGATTAACTGGCTCAGAGGTAATTATGAATAAACAGAAACATCAATTTCGTGTAGTTTTGAATGATGACTATGTCTTTTTCAAAACTTTTTGGACTCAAAAAATTATTTCTGTTAACTCTATTCTAAGACCAAGATCTAAGAGAAAGAGTTTGAAATAGAATTTCAAAACACTCGACGGAGTTAATATTCTACTCATATAAATATTGATGGACGTTGGTGGTAAAAAGCAAGAGAAAATGGTTTTTAAGTCAATATTCCAATTGCTTACTATCCTTGTTCATTTTCAACTGCTGAATTGTTGAATAAAAACGACCTTAATCAATATTTTTGTTTCACAGCAATTTCACCAGTTATGTTTACAACACTTTTTAAAATTACTTTTCATTTTATTTGTAAAATATGCTTTGCAATTTTAGAAGGGCATTCACATACTGATACAAACATTTAAAAAGAGAAGAAATTTCATTGTTCTCTTCTTGAATAAATAAAGGAGCAAAGCATGAGAGAGAAGTAACATATTCTGAAGTTGAAATTTGACTTGATTAAATACAATTTTAATATTTTACAACCGTTTTTGTCGTTACTAGAGACTATGACGGAATTCATTTCTCACAGAATGAAAAACAAGATATCGCTGACTGGTATCGAGCTTTCTTAAGGGTCTCGTCAGGTGGTTTTCTTTCAGAAAAACAGAATTACTAGACGACAAGTAACACAGGTCAGTCCACACAGTGTGATGAGTCCTATTATTCATTGTTCTTTCGAACAAAGAATGATAACTTTCAAACACTGAGAAGAGCACGATATCACTAGCCGCTGCACATATTCTGCTTTCTCTTCAGTGAGTATTTGTTTGGATTCAATTGGGAACGAACATAATTCCCCGAAATGAAAAAGGTTTATTACTCGCTAAATGCATAGCTCAATTTTCCTTGAAAGCGTTATTTGGTGAAAGTGAAAGTCTGTTTTATTTATGCTTTTGAAATTTACACGAACAAAAGGAAATTACATGAGTTTTTTCGCCAACTTTTCCTGGTTGAGGACTATCATTGGAGCAGTAGTTATTTGAGTTTTTATCTAATGACGCAGGCAAACAAATACCAGAATAGCACTGATAACTCTCGGTACACCTATGCCCTCCGTCTAGTTTACCCGGTAGATGATGATTGGCATTACAACTAATAGAAGTGTAAAAGATTAAAAGTGTGTGGAAGTATATTCTTTTAAATAACATTATTTGATGGTAGTTGGCGAACGTCGAGTTGAATTTGTTTTAATGAACTATGTAGTCCTCTGATACGAAATCAAAACAGTTTTGGTTTTGTGCATATTTTTATGTTTGTTTCTTCAAGTAGTGTAAGGAGAAACGAAGCAAATATACTATGAAACTAACGTATGAATGCACTTCTGCACAATAATAATAAAGGATAGTTTTATATTTAGCATAAGTTTTGTATTTTAGCATAATCTGGTTTAGACGTAATTCCGTCAACTGTGTAATTGGTAAACCGAACAACTGATACGTGAAGAAAGATAAAAACGGAGATTTTGATACCATTGCCCTTAGACATTTTGTTAAAGCATTTTTTTGAAAAATCGAAATCGAGTACATTTCCATATTGCAGTCAAAAGTAATAGTTCAAAGCAGTATCTGTAAACGGTTTTTTTATTTAAAAAACCTTCAAAATATCCTCCACCTCCAGGGAAAACATGACCTCATTCGATGAATGGACAGTGAAGATATTGAATTTTCATTTCCTAATGGACTTTTAGGCCATCGAAAGAGGCTTTCGTTCACCATTATTAAACTGAAAATCGATCTTACGTTGAATATTCCCATTCCGAAACAAGTCAGCACTAACGCCGATCCAATCCAACAGATCGACAGACAGGATTATTATGTAGATAACGCTTTCACTCATCCGGATAAAAAAATGTTGAAATAGATCGCGATAAGAGACATAGCTCACTGTAGCGATGAATCAATGCCTACAGCCAGAAAGACCATGTTTGAAGCACGTAGATGAAGCACGACGTCAGAGAAGAAGTCAAAATAGAATTACAAGGTACCCGCTGTCGGATTCATCGGGGAATTCTGCATGTACCACCTTATTTTCATCAAATTTGGTTCAGCGCGGCAAAAGCACCTAATTCTCGAACGGTTTATAAAGCCCATTGGACTATTTACTCAATCTGTTGGACTCGCACTGGACTAGACTTAAAAAACTGTTTTTCATGGACTCGGACAGGACTGGACTAGATTTTATTAGTCCATGGACTGGACTGGACTCAGAAATCTGAGTCCATGCGGAGCTCTGGAAAAAAATAAAAAAATAAAAGTCTTTGTTTATAACAGTGTACACTGTTATAAACAAAGACTTTAAATTTACCTGTAAAAATTCTATCTACTATAGTACATAGAATTTAGGCATACCTAGTTTAAGAAATGTGTAGGCCCCAGAGCTCCGCATGGACTCAGATTTTTGAGTCCAGTCCAGTCCATGGACTAATAAAATCTAGTCTAGTCCTGTCCGAGTCCATGAAAAACAGTTTTTTAAGTCTAGTCCAGTGCGAGTCCAACAGATTGAGTAAATAGTCCAATGGGCTTTACAAACCGTTCGAGAATTAGGTGCTTTTGCCGCGCTGAACCAAATTTGATGAAAATAAGGTGGTACATGCAGAATTCCCCGATGAATCCGACAGCGGGTACCTTGTAATTCTATTTTGACTTCTTCTCTGACGTCGATACGATCTACGTGCTTCATCTCCCACGTCCTGCAGAAAGAGAAAATCTGCACAAGTTCTTTAAAGATTTTTTTTCTTGAAAATTCTTGATCAAGATTTATTGATACCGCTGCACTTGACGTCCTTGAAAAAACTTTATTGAGATCTTGATCAAGATGGCTGAATTTATCTGGATTTAGTGAGATACAGTTTTGTGCATGAGTTTTACAGTTTGGCCTTTAATAAACACTGAAGTACAATGAAAGCGAACGGATAGCTCAGCGGTTCCTTTCCCTTTACTGTCACCACCTACTGGACTTATGCTGTTATTTCATTGGCTGAGTCATGTAGCCATCCATTTTGCTTTCTTTTTAACGAATATTTATTTATTTGTTACATCTAATTTATATCAGTGAACACTGATTAGAGATACACATATCGTATGTGCGCATCCACTTCGATGTTTACATGGTCCTTTTCTTTTCTATCTACGCGCCATTTTGTTCTAATTAGTGCTGATGTAAATATAAAAAAAGAGAAATAGACTTTTTCATTTCTTACAAATCCACAGTCGTGAACGCACTCATTTTTTGGTATTTATTGTGTTTAATATTAAAACAACTACACCCTCACACTCACACTCCACACACACCGCAGTAGGGGGTGTGACTATTCTGTAGAAGAACCCTATTATTATTCTACTTGTGTTTAATTATCTTTCAGTTCTAGGATGGCATCCACCAAGCCAACACGTAGTGGTCGTGCTCCAAAGCTACCAGGTGCACTTAAAGATAGTGATTCAGAAGACGAAAATCGTTCAAACAACAAAAAGTTTGGTTTTATCTATTTTCCGGATGAACGAAGACATGCTGTAACATCACTAAATAGTGTTGAACAAGGTGAAAATAAAACAGTACGTGTACGTAGTGGTGGTAAATGGTATGAAGGTCTTCTATTGTATACCGGTGAGAAAATCGCTTACTGTGTTGTTCGCTGCTCAACGATGTGTTGTTATTTCCGCTTTTTAGGCACTAAAACTGAATGTAATCGATAAACATTTGAATTGCCATTCCATTCCGATGGAGAATTGAGCGATATTGATCGTCGATATGGCTTAACAACCGAAGCACCAGGTGCATGTCGACAAGTTCAAAAATCAACAGAAACAGAAAAAGATGATGAATTAGAATGTGCTTCAATCAACAAGACTTGACAATGAAATTGACCGTATGTAATATAAAAGCGAGAGAACTAGTAACTCATTCATTTTTTCTTTTCTTTGTCATTAGGTTTTCTTGATCAACGAATATCAAAGAGAAAAGCTAAAAAAATAGAGAATACTGCACCAACAATTGGTGGAAGTGATGTAACGCGATCAGATCGACGAATTACACCACAACCTGTAACAAGTTCAATAAGCTACGAAGCAGCGCGAAAATTTGTACAACCAATGAGCGATGATAGTGAACGTAAGTTAGTTTATCTAAAGTTGGAAGATAAAAAGAATTTTCTGATTTAGAAATAAAAGTTCAATTAAGAACAATTGAAAATATGCAAGCTCAAACAAAGAGAGATGTTAAAAGTGTTAAAGATTTGTTGTTATTATTGGTAAGTGATGAATACTTATAACCTTACGCCATTATTGACAAAATTGCTTTTTTCCAGATGCGAAATCAAGAATCGGTGAAAAATGAAGCTGAGGAGGGGCAAAGCTCAGTAAGTAAAACTGACAAACCGGATTCTAAAGTGACGTGTCATTCCACTTTTTTTCATGCGTGATATTTGTTATATACAACTGATTTTTCTGTTTTTCTTCTCTTTGTTTAGATCATTGAAGAGGTCGATGTACGCCATATTCGTGGAGCAGATAGTCAAAGATATTTGTACAATATTGTATCGAAAGTATTTGGTAACAATCTGATTGACGCAAGTCTGCCGGATTATAAAGGAAGAAAAGAAAAAAAAGCTTTACCAGACGAAACAATGGATATGATGTAAGTTAGTCAGCTTTTTTTAATATCTTGTGGGTGTCATTTGTACGATTTTAGACATGAAGCTGTGCGTTATCGATTTAAAATTTCAAAAGATGAATATAACCGCCAATGGCATGAGCGTAATCGTCGTTTATTTGGACAATGGTTGGACGATTATGGTACTCGTTTAAATGAATCATTAAATAAAACAACCTCATCAACAACATCGCAGCGTCGCGCTCGATCACCTAACGATAGTATTGTATCAACCGGTAAACGCCAACATACTGCGACTTATGGAAGTAGTAATGGTCGAAATGAAGAGCAGATAGTCAAAGATATTTGTACAATATTGTATCGAAAGTATTTGGTAACAATCTGATTGACGCAAGTCTGCCGGATTATAAAGGAAGAAAAGAAAAAAAAGCTTTACCAGACGAAACAATGGATATGATGTAAGTTAGTCAGCTTTTTTTAATATCTTGTGGGTGTCATTTGTACGATTTTAGACATGAAGCTGTGCGTTATCGATTTAAAATTTCAAAAGATGAATATAACCGCCAATGGCATGAGCGTAATCGTCGTTTATTTGGACAATGGTTGGACGATTATGGTACTCGTTTAAATGAATCATTAAATAAAACAACCTCATCAACAACATCGCAGCGTCGCGCTCGATCACCTAACGATAGTATTGTATCAACCGGTAAACGCCAACATACTGCGACTTATGGAAGTAGTAATGGTCGAAATGAAGATGAAGCTAATGATCCTTGAGCATAAAACAATTTCTGGTATTGTTGCATACTTCGTTGTTCAAATTCTTATTTCGGTTTTTTTCTTTTTTGAAAAACTTTAATAGGAATACTGTCACTTAGTTTTTAGTATCTCAGAGTGTTTGTAAAGCCCATAGTTTCTTTTACTGGTTTTATTTTTGAAGAACTATCCTGTGATATAGGTCAATAAAAAATGAGCTAGCGATGAATCTCTATGATTCCCAATTTTTCTATTTTGTGACTTTTCCCGATATTTTTTGAAAAACAGTTATGGTGTTTGTCAGATTAGAATAATGTCAAATATTGGTTTCCGGTGTAAAAAAAAACACAAAAGGTGGTTAGCTATAGGTTTCAACTATGATGGAATTCAAGAAATTTAAGAAAATCTAGCAATTTTAAGAAATTCAATAAGTTCTAGAAATTTAACAAAGACACATACGATAGTACGCTATAAGTGTAAACGATGATGGAATTCAAGGAATTCAAGAAAATCTAGCAATTCAAGGAATTTAACAAAGACACATACGGTAGTTAGTTATAGGTCTCAACTATGAGGGAATTCAAGAAAATAAAGCCATTCAGGAAATTCTAGAAATTCAAGGAATTTACCAATGCTACATAGTGTAGTGAACTGTAAGTTTAAACTATGATGGAATTCAAGGAAATGTAAGGAATGCGTCAAATGAAATGAATTTCCAGAATTTCTTGAATTCCTTAAATTCCATGATAGTTTACACTTATAGCTAACCACCTTATGTGTCTATATTAAATTCCTTGAATTTCTAGAATTTCTTCAATATCTTGAATTGCTTGATTTTCTTGAATTTCTTCTCACAGAAAACAGTATAATTCTCGTATAAATACATTATTCTCGTGTACTAGACCAAAAAATAGCTATGAAGATATGTAAATTCTCATGGAGAAAGCATAATATCACTTGCTACTAAAATTCTTTCTTCCTTCGGATAAACACACATACACATACCGACAACCGCACTTCACTATTCTCTTGAGAAATTAAATTCTCATTCTTTCTTTCTATCGTTCCAGAAAGGTGAAGTTGTTGTGGAGAAGCATCGATTTCTTTTTTCAAAAGAACATCGTATGTTTTCCTGAGGAAATCGATGTTTCTCCACAACAACTTCATGTTTTTTTATGAAGAAATGTCTTTAGGAAGAAACCTGAAGTTGCTGTGGAGAAACATGATATTCTTGTGGAAAAACATCGATTTCTTCAGGAAAAGCGATACAACCACGATCCACAAATTTGCAATTGAAGAAATTCAAGGAATTTACAAAGACTCATAGGTTAGTTAGTACTAGGTCTCAACTATGACGGAATTCAAGCAAATCAAGCAACTCAAGAAATTAAAGAAACCCTTTAGACTCAAGGAATTTAACAAAGACACATAAAGTGGTTAGCCATAGGTCTCAACTATGATGGAATTCAAGAAAATCAAGCCATTCAGGACATTGAGGAAATTTTTGGAACTCAAGGAATTTAATAAAGACACATAAGGTGGTTAGCTATAAGTCTCAACTATGATGGATTTCAAGAAATTGAAGAAATTCTAGAAATTCAAGGAATTTCACAAAGACACGTACGATAGTGAGCTATAAGTGTGAACTATCATGGAATTCAAGAAATTCAAGAAAATCAAGCAATTCAAGATATTGAAGAAATTCTAGAAATTCAAGGAATTTAATATAGACACATAAGGTGGTTAGCTATAAGTGTAAACTATCATGAAATTCAAGGAATTCAAGAAATTCTGGAAATTCATTTCATTTGACGCATTCCTTACATTTCCTTGAATTCCATCATAGTTTAAACTTACAGCTCACTACACTATGTAGCATTGGTAAATTCCTTGAATTTCTAGAATTTCCTGAATTGCTTGATTTTCTTGAATTCCGTGAATTCCATTATATTGTACACTTGTAGCTCACTAGCTTATGTATCTTTGTTAAATTAATTGAATTTCTAGAATTTCCTCAAATTTCTTGAATTGCCAATTTTTGAATCGTGGTTACTGCTGTCAGGAGCTGGAGTTGTACTAGTCCTATTACTTTCGAACTGCCGGGATGAAGTCGATGTAAAAGTGGTAAGCTTTCGAAAGAACAACCCAGGACGATCTTGGAAAAGAAGACTACCCGCACCCCGAACTTATGACATGAAGGACAAAATAGTAGACCACTCCTGTTTTCAAAGACTTTTTCAATAATTTTGAGACTTTACAAAAACTGTTCTTTTTGTGTCACATCTAACAGCGTTGTATTGTCTGGATCGTCGGACTCAAACACCATTCTCATTCACTGAATGGGTCTTTTTCAATCTTTTTCAAGAACCCTGCAGTGATGCTGCAACTGCTGTATAGTTCCAGTATCGTTCTGAATGGTCTCTCTTTCAGTCAAAATTAGTTTAAGAGAAGTTTTCTTTAGAAAGGATTTTAGAAATGCTTCACCTTCATTCAAAGATTTCGAATAAGCAATGACACAAACAAGGACAACTTCTCACTTTTTTAAGCATTGATTGACTCAATCAACACCTATATTCTTCCACTCTAACATGTTTATTTTTGTTTTCGTTCTCATCGATAACATAAAAAAGGTGTTTGTAATCCACTTGGAATATGGCGGTCACATTCAGAAGTGTATTGTTTTCTAGTTAATGAAAGATAAAATATTATTTATTCCGAATTGTGTATCTCCATTGCATCATTGCATACAAATAGTGTTGTTGTCAAGAGAAAAAAAACGTGCGTAATAGATTTTTCCTGTGGCAAAACTAGAGATCAGAATGTGTTTTGGAGCGTTTCCTACAGCACAATACCATTATAATTTCCATTCTAAATAACTTGTATATTCTTGAATAATGCTATGCAAATCTTAATTATATATTTTCAAAAGATTATTGTTTATCAAGCTGTAAACAACACATTTAAAGCACAAAAGAACTGTTATTTGACACTTTATTCTGTAATTCTTATTGAATTTGTTTTTGGTATTAATAGTTTTTAGTT